ATTCTCCTAGTTAATGCACATATGTCAAGGCTCCAAACTTAGTAATTAATTATCTCAATATGACTTAAAATAAATAATATATAAGCATCTAATTTAATGAATAAGTAAAGATACTAACAAATTAACTTTTATCAGAAACTATAAATTTTGAATTATTAAATATAGATAAGAAGAAATGGAATAGTAATTTAAATATAATTTAGGATGTTGGATTATATATGAGTTTTGGAGAATATGTTGTTTAAATAGAAGTTTACTAATTACTTGAATTTAGACCAATCCTGAAAATATTATTAAATCAGACAGTTGTTAATATAAATAATGCTGCTTTAGAAGACTTTGAAAGATCTATAACATTATAATATCCAAAATATCTAGATGAAAAATAAAAAGATTATTCAACTAAGTTAAAAAGCCTTAATTAATATATAATATATGGTTTGTCTGGAATTACTGGTGTAAATCTTCTATTAGGAAGTGGAGAGTTATTTGTTGAAATTTTGGGAATTCTTTAATTTTAGTAATACTTAAGATACATCAATCTCTAATTTCCTGAAAATCTAGAGATTTATTTTTCTATAAATGATATGATAACTGTTCAACCACTATTAGATTTTATGCAATTTCAATAATTTTTAAAATTTATCAATATTGAATCAAATTAAGAATATTCAGATGGAAAGTTTAATTTATACAAATAAAACTCAAGTTTAATTATCAATCTTTAATGTCAAATAATTTAAGGTTTAATATTTTTATTCCTTATTCTGTTGTTTAAATGGATTAAAAATGTTATGTATAAATCGATTTTTTGTTCAAAGTACTTTTAGTTTATGTCATCTTTATCTTAATACATAAATTCAAATATAATTTTCAAATTTAGTAAATCCTTTTATAACATTTGTTTAACTTTGCTTAAATTGGAAAATTATATATCTTTTTAAGGAATATAAAAAGCCTTACTTTTAAATGGTTGGGATATGATATTTAAAACATTATTGTATACACGAAACATATAAACTCAAAATTACTTAGATATTTTACAACTTATTATAGCAAGCATAATTCTTATTTTTTATTTTATTATCTTACTAAATATTTTCGAAGTTAAATATAAATTTACACAGATCAATAAGATTTTAAGGTTTGAAATTCTAAGTTTTAGTAGACAATTTTTCTTTTTAACATTTTTGATTTATTTTTAAAATTCCTAAATACTTTAATTAGGATTACTCTTTCTGACAAGCATTTTTTAGATTAAATTCATATATAATTATCGTTTTATTTTTAATTAAAAGAATTATATTGTTTAAATGGTAGTTGAGATATCAGTATTAGCTTTTATCATTAGTTCATTTTTATACATAGAAGAGTTTACAGAATATTTTAATGAAGAAAAAAAAATTCTACTGGGTTTGATTCAAATAATTATATTATCTAAAGGGGTAATAATAGAATTAATTTTGATCGTTTGGTAGTTTTTAAAATTTATATACAAATTAAGAAAAGACTCATAAGTTGTTAGTAGTCAATTATTTTCATGACTATTATTGAAAGTGAATTATAGTAAAACCATAAAAATTATAAAATATATTTTTCAAATTTTTTTTAACTTATGCTTATATTTTCTAATATTTTACTACAAACCTATATCTAGATTGTAGTATACTAATTTATTCTAGAGAGGGTAGAAGTTTTTTTAATTTTTTGGCTGTTTTTATTTGGTATATTTAAATAGGACCGATGTAATTAAATAGATAATCATTAAATAATTAATTATCTGTTAAAGTAGCAACTTATAATTTTTTATGTATTTTTCAAAATAAAATCATTCACTTAATTATTAGTATAGAGTCTTTAATTTTAATTAAGATGAGCTTTCTAGTTGTTATTAATAATATAAAATGAAAATGACAGTTAAATAACTTAATTCTCTGATTGTAAAAAGGTGAAAATTAGTAAGAATATAATTATTTGAATACAGAAATTTAAGATGGAAAAGAGAAAATATAATCACTGATATATGAAGATCGAAATTATTTTATAATCAAAATGAAACTTTCTAATTGATGTAATTTAGATTTGTTTCCCCTAACAATTTAATATCCTATTAATTGAAAACTAAATTATAGGTTTTATATATTTTATCTCCAAAAATGAAAATTAATATAATATATCTTTCATGTAGAATTCTTTTTATAATACCAATTAAGAATTTGAAATTCATTAATTATGCAGGGTGATTCTATTCTAAACCTTATTCAAATCTATGAAGCTTAAGGATAAAAAATTTATTTTAAAATACATGAATTGATAAAAATAAAATTTATTAGTTCTTTCTATAATTTATTATTATTATCCCCAGAAAAATTATTCTCATCATCATGTTTTACAAATCAGATCCTATGTGACCCCAACCAACCTTAGTATTCAAGGATTAATTATTCATGAACATCCTAGGAGAGTATTGATTAATATCTGTAAGAATTTACATAAAAATAATAAAAAATAATTTATACTATAAATGACATCACTAACATATATTCTCGAAACCATATTTTATCAGTCTAGATGATGATGAATAGTTAAACAGGGTTTTTGGACTCTAAAGACTTAAAATTGTTATACTAATAATAATAATTCATCAGATGATCAATTATATAATTTAAAAAAGAAAATATATCCACTACGATTTTTTTTTTTGGTTTTTTCTAAGTAAATAATTATATATAAGAATAGCTGTTAAATCAAATTGTTTATATTTCATAAAAAAATAATGGAAATATTTAGAAAAGTTGATCTTTTAATCATAAGGATCTAAATTAAAAAAGAAAGTCTTGATACTTATCATAGATTATAATGCATCAGCAGGAATTTATAATTTGACCTGATTGACATTAATAGAGTAATAAAAAGGGAAAAATGTTTTTACATAAATTACATGGAAAACGAGAAGATAAATAGTATATATATGGTTAATAATTACCATTATTATTTAATAATGATGAATAAAAATTAAAATTTTTACAGTTAGGATTAAAATTTGAATAGTATTGACTCTAAAAGAGAATCTTTTAGAGAAGGTATAAGAAAAAGAAGATTTGGAAAGAAAATTTAATAGATCTAGAACTCCTAATATAGAAAAATTAGTAAATTCAAATTTAGATAATGAAAATAAAATACCAATTTAAAATAATTACAATCTAAGCCAAAAAAATCAAGAAATTAATTATAAAAAATTAAAAATATTAAAGATGGATTTAATGGCATTTACTAAACAATAGATAACTTTAGTTATGGATTTATAAATCAATATTTATCTTAAAATTGATTAAAAAATAAAATGTACAAAACCAAAAAAATAGTTTTATTACTTATTTCATAACTCTTATAAAAGAAAATAACGATTTATAATTATTCTACTTAAAAAATAATATAT